TTTCTGAGGCAGGCACAAATGAACAGGGCCAAGTCACCAGGGACTACAGTTATGAGCTGGATACTGGCTATGAAGGTGTGCAGGATGCTATAGTTCTGTGGTTGTGGAGTCTTCTTATGAGGTTTCTGAGGAAAGATATTAGGGTGGGAAGGGCTTTAGGAACTTGTTGTTTTTACTATCAACTCACTACCTCATGGCTCCACCATGCTGGGACAGTATTTCGTTGTGTTGGCACAGCTTATCTGTGTGAATTTCACAATCAATGATAGCAACTCTCATATTTATGAGCCCCTCACATACTGTAGAATATTAGGCAAAGACTCTCACCACTAATGCAGATAGCATAGGGCTAAGGTTCCTGGAAACATCTATTTGAATCTGTCATTGATTCATGACAGGAAACTGTGTCTTGGGACATGGAACGTTCTCCTTCTCAGTGGGTCCTTCAGGGCCTGTGCAGCTCCTACAGCTGTGCCCAATCCACCGATAGTGTACTGGGCAGGAGCTGAAGGGACTGTGCAGTGCCAGGGCCTGCTCAACACATTCACTGTACGTGTGAGGCTTGTGGAAAGACTCGGCGCTACTGTGTCTCCAATCTGTGAAGATTTCCACACATCTTACCACACTCTCATTTTCATTGATGCAGAGTGATCCTGGGGATTTGAAAGGTATGCTCCAGCATTTACATCAGAGATAGACTTATGAAAATGTGACTCTCCACCATCATAGGACATGCTTTCTCTTTTTTATAAGAAACAATATATTTTATTTTTCTGACACCACAACTCTGGCAACTGGTTTTCTACCAATTTTGTGAAGATTAGAAAGAACATCTTGTGCAGGACAGAGAAAGGAAAGGGAAGAATCACAACATTTAAAACAAAAACAAAATCTTGGATAGGTTTTAGCATCTGTTCCAGTCCACCGTTAATAAAATTCACTTTAGAATTCCTAAGAGAAGGAGAAGAGAACGCAAGGTGGGCCACAAAGTCTTCACTAGGAAAAAGAAAGGTGAGGGGGGTGATAATTCCGGAGGATATCCCCACGACAGAGTCATCCCTGCTGGTGCCAGGAAGATGCTCCCATGGAAGGCTTCAGTAGAATTATTTTCCTGGAAGATCATTGGGTATTGCCATTGTCAAAGTGAAGAGGAGAGCCACCAGCGCAGGCATGAGGGAAAGAAACACACTTAATCAAGGGACTGGAAGATTGGGGAGGAAAGGAGAAAAGCATGGTGATTGATTTGTACACTGGAATAGCCAGTCTGTGCCAAAGAGCACATGGACTGAAAAACAAGTTACCTAATCTTCATTATTTTTAAAAGAAAAATCACCCTATCCACTGACCTTAGTTCCTTTCTTGTACTTTTCATTAGTACTCTGCTCTGAGGTCATACCTTGGATTTTCTCTACACTGGAGTTGAAAGAAAATAGTAAAAAGTTCTGAAGTCAGATTCTCTACCTAATGGTAACAGTCCAGAATTCCTGTTCTCCTGTTGTCCTGAAGACTAAAGTCTCTGCTAAAATCCATTTTACAATATGGTACAATACACACAAAAAAATAAAGCCCACATTAAAGAACAAAAACAGAAAAGAATCCTAAAAAACACCTTCTGATTAAACGAAACGTTTGTTTTCAGGTAAATCCACACATTCTTGAGCCCTCCCCTCCTCCAAAGCAGTCCTTGGGGGTCTTTGTTCTCCTACTACATGACCAAATGTCAGTCTTCCTGGAGTTCCCTCACAGCAGCTCTCAGAACCTGGCATAATTTTTGGATTTATTAGGAGGGAATTTCAAGGCACAGAAAGACTGGTTAATATAATTTGTTTCACAGATCTGTAAAGAACAGATTGGAGGTATTCATTGTGGCCTGGGTCAAGATGACAGCTCTGGGTCAGAGTGCCTTTATTAACTTCCTTTCTATAACACTTACTCCCCTGGGTCTTATCATCCCTGTTAAATTCCCTTGACACAATATCCTGCTAATGAAATGGGAACATTTTAAATTGCAGAGATAGGCCAGTGAAATCATTGATACCATGAAAAACGAAGAGCAGGAAGGGTTAATTCTGTTGGATTCAATTGTATCAATTTTGTTGTTGCTTTGAACATCTTCTGACATCATAGTGAAGTGCAGCAGATGGTTGTATTTTAGGGTTTTAGTAAGTTGGAACCCACTTTCTTACCTCCATGTAGGAAGGGACTCTCTTTCATGCACAGCCCTCTCCTGCCTATAGGACCGGGGTGATGACATATGTTCCTATCCCAGCCTGAGTTAGCATTGACTTCCAGCAGTATCACCAGAATCAGCACTTCTCTTACCTTTAAAGCCAATCTTTCCCACCTTGTGTTAATAGCTTCATGCATTGGGTATATTCCAGATAGCTAAACTGGAGACATGAATGAAAGAGCTATCAAAGTACTAAGACATACTCTCAGGAAAAACTGTTAAGAAATAAGAGCAACAAGTCAGGGGGTAGGGACAGGGACCAGACATGGGTGTCACTTGTACAGAGCAACCACGCAGGTGAATTAGTCAGTGTTTCACCTCGAGCTCTCAAAGACCTGGTATCTTGGAAACCTGCTTGCACAGTCATTGTCAGATGCCTGTACTGGGGAGAAAACTAACTTATACATCACTTGAATTTAAGAGAAGTGACAGTTTAGGGACAGGGTAAAACAAAGGAACACTGAACTCAGACTTTCCTCATGTGTGAGAAGGCTCCTTACATGAAAATTGTCATTCAGTAACTAGGTTACATCCCACTCTCATGCTCTGGGAACTCACAGCTTTTTTCATCACACAAGGCTGAGGTCTTTGGGGAAGGCAGGGCTGTGGTCTAGAAGATGAGTCTGTTGTGTCTTATCAATTCCTTTCCATTCTCTTTCCAGAAATATTATTAAAAAATGGTACTTGTCTGTTGATTTTATGTATGAAAATGTGCAGTTTAGCCAGATAGGCGACAAAGAGTTCTACATTGCCTAAGTACAAGGAAATGTCTCTCAATATTTGTACCCTTAGAGGAATGGAAGGCTTTTGCATATTTTCTTTATTAAAATACACATTTAACTTTCTATTTTCCCAGATTTCTTCTTAGCCAATTATACTATTTGCTCTAGAGTTATTCTAGTAAATATTGATCCATTTAGATATCCACATATCTTAGTATTTTACTCTATATTTAAATAATTTCTTTTTAGTCTCTTTGTGGTGTTGTACTCCACAGACATGATGTTTTCAATTTAACATCTTATTTCTTTGACATGTCTTGTCCATCCCTGCTTTTATTAATTCTTATTTTTCTCTATTTTTTTTATTGTTTTGATTTGAGAGAGTCTCTCCCTAGTCCTGGAGCTGTTGGCTCTCAGTCTCAGACACCCAGTGCCTGTACTACATACAGGAGCCACCAAATCCAGCTTTCCATGTTTAATTTTCTATTTTCTCTTCTTCCCCATTGACTTTCTCCTTTCCTCCATTTTTGTTCTCCATATTTCCTCAATTAGATCAGTTTGTCTCTGTTAAATTGTTTTTGCTTTCTACATTATTTCTTTATTGCCATAGATTTGGGTTGTATCTTCTCTGTTTTCAAGACTTTATTAAAATAATTCTTGTTTTCTGTTGCTCACTTTACTGTTACCTGTTTCTTCTTCATTCCCGTACTTACCTTGTTCCTTGTACATTTCCTGTCCCATCTCTCCTGCTATCTTTTTCTACTGTTGCTCCTCCTCTATCCATATTCCAACTCTACCCTCATTACCTACTGCCCTGTTACCTCACCTCACACCATTATTGCTCAAAGTGTCCTCTAAGCTTGTTGGAGGTGCAGTGCTGAGTTTATTAGTAATCATTACGACATTTCCATGGCCTGTGTCAGTGCAGAGCTCAGCCTCAACTGTGCCACATACACACTCTCACACTCTGAATATTTTATGTCGTGGGGGCTTGAATAGATTGGTGTGATCTGAGCTAAGAGGAATAGTAACTACAGTCAAATTAAATTCCAGAATGATCATATGTAGGGAAACATACAAGAACCATGTTTTGTATCAGCTCAGCAGTGTGACAGCTGAGTGCAGTAGTGCGTATTAAATGCCCAAGGAACTGTTATCTGCATGCAATGTGAGCCCAGATACCTTCCTCCTACAGAGTTGCTCATAACCGACAGGGGGAAGGCAGGTGCACCAGGCTGTCCAGGATACACAGGAACACTTAGGAAGAGCACAGTGTTCTCAGCACCACCAGAGGGCGCTCAGGACCAGTGAAAGGCATCAGAACCAGCAGGAGAGGACCACCAGGAACCAGCAGGGGACCCTCAGGAAACACTCACACCAGGTCCTTCTCAGGAAGTCAGTAAAGGGCTGGTTTCCAATGAATGAATTTTATCCTCACACCTGGCAAACTGCTTCCTGACAGAGTATAAAAATGTTTTTTTTGTTTAAATACAGAAATTCCTTCCACTTTTAGAGTGAAATATCTTGAAAATGATCCTCCAATTTCCAAAGCCCCAGCAATGGATAAGTGTGAAGGAATAATCACGGTGAGAACACGAGTAGTTTAGAATCAGAGTAATCTCAGTTTCTTAGAAGAATAAACTCACCATAAATAGTAGCATTATAACTGTCCCAGGCATCCTGAATTGAAAGTCACTCTTCATTACATTATAACCTGTATGAAATTTGAGGGAATCAAAATGCATGTTGTTGTAAACTCAACACACAATAAAGAAATAAACATAAATAATTACTTAAAATACATAAATGAATAAATGTGGTAATACAAGAAAGAAGAAAGAATATTATGAATATATGTCTGATAACAGCAACTGCTCATCAATGTCTCCATCATATCCACATCTGTCAAGAAAGTACATTGCCACCTTACACAAAGAATTCCTCTTAGAACAAGTCTACTGCAACTTCCTGTGGCGTTTTTGACAGTGAAACCTAGGATTTAACTTTTTAAAACAGGCATCATTGTTTTCAAATACCTTATTTCGTAGATGATGGAGAGGTATAGAGAAGGGGAATCACAGATAAATATCAGCAATTGTCAGAGAAATGAGATCTTAGTATCAACAACAAGCCAGGCACCTGGTCATGCCTGTAATCTCACCTGTGTGGATGTCATAGGCAGGAGGAATGCATGCACCATATTCTTCCTGGTTTCCCAGGAGAGTACCAGTGACACCACAGCCTGAGTGCAGTTCTCAACCCTTCATGGTTTAGCATTCAGCCAGACACCACATGCTCCTGAGTGGTAAGTACCTGGACGTACACCCAGAAACCCATGGTTTCTGTGTTCTTCTCTGTGACATCAGGAATGACCATTGTGTTGTCCTAGAAAAGTCCATCCTAGGTAACTAAGGAGAATAGCAGATAGAAGGCAGTAACTGACCACTGTGGCTTGGGTCAACAGTCATGAGAGTGTAAATAGTGAATGTCTTATCCTTCAATGTGTTGTTATGATGAAGACTCTCAATTCTATTGACAAAGCATGGACTCATGTACTACTGACAGTCTCTTTCTTCACTGGGGAAGAGATGACTCCATCCATCTTTCCTGATTATATTAAAGCAGATAATGTGGACTTAACATGAAAAATAAGAGGACAGATAGGCTACCGAGTTCAGGAAGCAAGTTTCAGAATTTGATTTTAAGGAGCAGAATGGAACTAGGTTCTAATAGCCTCATGAGTGTCAGAGTTGACTGCTATGGACATTATCACTCTACAGATGGTATCAATTATGTGTGGTTTTAAAAGTCATTATCAATGATTCCTTCAGCAGTTTAAATCCAGCATTAACCTATAAATAGCAGGAGGAAGCTGAATGTAATGTAAATGGCCACATAATAGATGCAGAATTCTCATCTGGGGAATGGGGCATTGATAGCAGATTGCCTGTGTCTCTTCCCCAAAAGTTCAAGATCTCCCTTGTGAATAAAACACGGCACAGACAGCATGGTTTGCAGTGCTGGGGATTGAACCCAAGGTCTAGAACTTCCAGTGCTCTTTTACTTGAATGATGTCCCTAAGACATTTTTTTAAATTTAATTGTGACCTCCATTCTTCTTACCAGTTTCCAGGGTAGACAATAGCTGCTGTCTTGCTGCCATCACCTCCCATGTACTGGAATTATAAGTTTGTGTCTCCATGTCTGACCCACAAAGAGCATTCTCTTCAGTCTCTACATTTCTGACGTCTGTGTCTTTTATATAACAGATTAGTCATAGTATGGAATCATATAAGAGCAGCAGTGTGACAATGTAATAGGATTCCAGAGTATCTGTGAACAAAAACACAGTACAGGAACAGAAAAAAGAAGATCTGTGCTAGAATCAGAACTGCAGAAGTCATTTCTAAGCTTGAGTGGACATAAGAGTAGAGAAAAAGAGGGAGAAGTGGCATGGAGGATGGTGGATTTCTCCTCAAAGGTGAGAACATCCTTGGAAAAGTTTCCATCATCTCTCTAAAACTAGCTATCTCTTATAACAAATGTAAACACCTGTAGAGTTTCACAGCATGGACTTCACAGGGCCCAGAAGTACAGGACCACCTGACCTCAATCCCTCCACTTGTATAAAATGAGGACTTCACATGCAAATTGTTATTCAGTCTGTAAGTTAAATCACCCTCTCAGGCTGAGGAAGCTCACAGCTCTCTTCTCACACAGGGCTGAGGTCTCTAGGGAAGGCAGGGCTGTGGTGTTGAAGATGAGACTGTTTAGTCTTCTGTTGTGCCTGGTGACAACTCCCCAAGGTGAGTGTCCCCAAATTCACACATGGGTCCAAGGGGAGGTTGTAACTGAATGTGAAAGACTGTAGTGATTCTTCTTCCCCCAGGTGTCCTGTCCCAGGTGCAGCTACAGGAGTCAGGACCTGCCCTGGTGAAGCCTCACAGACCCTGTCCCTCACCTGTACAGTCTCTGGTTACTCCATTACCAGTGGTAACTCCTGGATCTGGATCCACCAGCCTCCAGGGAAGAGCCTGGAGTGGATGGGGTACATAACTTATAGTGGAGGCACTTACTACAGCCCATCCCTCAAGAGCCGCATCTCCATCACCAGAGACACATCTAAGAACCAGTTCTCCCTGCAGTTGAGCTCTGTGACAACAGAGAACACAGCTGTGTATTACTGTGCAAGAGGCACAGCAAGAGGACTTCAGTGTGAGCCCTGACACAAAGCTCCATGTTGGGTACACTCAGAACCAGCAGGGGGCATGCAGTTCATAGCAAACACGACCTCAGGTCAAATGTCAGGTACAGATTCACACATGAACTTTTTTCCTGACTACTCTGCTTCCTACCCTGCCAGCTCCTATCACACAGTGCAATGCACAGTGATTCTGGAGCTCTCTCCTGATTCAAAACATCAGAACTACCTCTATTGCTTCTCTTTTTGGTGATAGTGGTGTATGAACTCAGTCATGTGCTTCCATGCATTTGCTTTATCACTTCAGCCACACCACCAAAATATTTTTACAATAGATAATTGTTTCAGACAGTCTCATATTTTTGGGGGGTGCGTCTTGCACACTCATACATGTGCCTCCAATGGAGCTGAGAGCACTGGTGCATGCAACCATGTCCAGCTTATTTTTTGAGTTTGAGTCTCAAAAATAATAAGTAATATTATAAGAATAAATAGCATCATCTTTGTTTAAGTTTTATTTTCTGTTTGTCCTCCTTCTATAAATAATGATACTTTTCCTTTGTTCTTTATATCTATCTTCAAAAACCTTATTAAAATTGGTAGGTTTTACAATAAATTTTATTGGTAAACAGTGATAATATACATGAATATTAGTAATACTCTAAGAATCTTGTGGTGTCACGAGAGGGATGGCACAACTTATAATTCTATAGGCAAGGCTACCTTTACTTTGGCAGAATGGTAGTCACCTGAGAAAGAGTCTAGGAAGCAAGCACACAGTTGAGAAGTCCACTTAGGTTTTATATCTAATGCAATGCTCCCCTGACCTGGATTGGGCAGGTTTGTGTTCACAGTGTGAGTGAGTGGTTAATTGGAAATGACACAGGTTAGGGAAAGGGACTTTAGAGAAATATGCTACAGAGTATATGTGCTTCTTCTCCTGAAAAGGAAGAAGATTGAGTACAAAAGTAATTTTCACTGTCAAATAGGAAATGGTACACAGGGGCTGCAGTTTAAAAGCAATGCTCAGTCTAAACTTCGTCTGAATGTCTTTTCTCCAACTCTTTCTCCTGAGTTGTGTGGTGACACCTGAGATCCTGCCTGCTCTGTCTCGATTGTCACCTTCATGCTGTCCTGGAGCTCTTCAGGCAGAGTGCTCACCTGTCAGCCAACCTGCTGTCCACTTCCACTGTGCATCTCATGGGGGTGTCACTGTGCACTTAAACACCTATGGGTGATTTGCACTGTGATTGTAATGTTCTTAAATATGTATGTACAAAGAGAGAAGAGGTCATTCATATTAGGAACAATCTTTTAAACAGTACTGTTCAATTGGAATATGAATTTCAAAGTATTTTGCTGTGGTATTGTAAAAGTTTACTAAGAATTTTATGTTATCCACACACTAATATTTCCTAAAGTAAATCTCAGACTTATCTTGGTGTTTCCATACACCTCTTTTGGCTTTTCATTGTCCATGTGAGTGCCATATATCTAAATTGTGAAGGAGGAGACACTTTAAAATGCAGTGACAAAGATCAGTCCATGCACTGTGCTGGAATGACATTGCTTCTGCAGGAATTCAGTGTCCTAAGGTTTGGAGAGAAGTCCCTTACAGGACGAACCAGGCCACAGCAGGAGTCTGATTGTAGGAGGAGAGAAAAGTAAGAAGGGTGGAAGGAGGGTAAACCATTGACCTCTGAAGAACTAGGAGGGAATGGGAATTTTATTAGCCTACCTGTCTTTTAAATCTCCCTTTAAGTGCTGGGACAAGTGGTTCTTCCCTGTAATCCCAGCCTAGCAAGTATGAGGCCCTGATTTTAATCCACAATAGCAACAAGAACATCAAAAATTTCCTCCAAAAAGGAATAACAAGGTCGTGCTTGAGAAAATCCTCTGGAAAGCTTTCCCAAACCCACTAAGTCTAAAAGCTGTTCACACACCAACCCTATTGCACAGGAGTGAAGGCGACCAGGTGACAGATCACATTCCCTCATTTAGTGTAACAGAAGAGAAAGACCCCTTGAGAAAGATAAGAGGGAAGTGCTTCAAACATGTCATTCTTCCACAAACTACCAGTGCATAGACAGAGGCATCCTCCTTGGGTGAGAGAGAACCAAGTCCAGAACATAGACTTCAAGAGGAGTATCAGGCACTCCATGGTAAAAACCCATGTGGAAAATTCCCATGGTTACTCTTGCCAGACCAGCATCTGTGACCCATCCTCAGGGACTGCTGAAGGCCAGGTAGCAATGAGTCTGTCTTCAGCACCTTCCTGAGCCTTGAGCAGCACAGCAGGCAGAAGGACCATGACCTTGGGGACCAGGGTGCAACAGCAGTACAGGGCTGAGCCTCAGACAATAGTACTAGCCTTCTTAGAGAAACCAAGCATGCATTAGAAAATTCAGGGCACCATTGCAGACTAATACTCATTTCTAAATGATCTCCTGCGTTTCTTCTTGGCCTTTTGGGTAAGATCAAGTAGAGTTCCTGGCATTGTTCAGAGACATGTGTACTTATGACATAGATGAGTCATGGTTCACTGAGTTCCAGCCTTGGAGGGGCCAAGTAGAAGCTTCCCAGGTTTGTGCATGCCCTATGGTCTTGACTTGGGGTGCAACAAGCTTAGCTCTGTCTAGGAACTGTCCTATCAACTCTTCCCCTGCCTCAGCAGCACATCTTACATACAACCCACAACAGAGACCTGTGCCCTGTGAGCCAGATCTCTTGTTCAATTCTCAGAATACCTAACTACACCTAGATCCTCAGTGATCTCCCAAGACTGTGCAAGACCAGGCATGATTCAGCATAGCATCCACCAATATAGCTAAGTGTCTTACTTCACCAGCATCTTCCCATCTTATGACAGCATAGCAAGTCTTAAAATCCCACTACATATTAGGACTTGGTTTAAATTACATGACTTGTTTCTGGAACATGGTGCTGGAGTGGTGGGATTAAAAGTGGGCATATTCTAATGGCATCTGTGTCTAGGACTGCCTGTGTAAGGCCACTAGAGCAGCTCCAGTTGCTAAGGAAAGATACACACTCCACTCAGTCATCTATTTTACCTAGCATCACCAGCACCATGGCCAAATGTGTAACACAGGAAGTAGGCCTAGACCACTTCTGTGACTGTTCCCAGACCCAGACTGACTGCTACTGGGCCACTTCCAACAACTGACTAATCAGTACTCAATATGGGAAGTTCACACGCAGAGAATATTAGAAAGTGGATTCATGGAATCTAAATTAAATAAATGAAAATACAGAGAAGTATTTCAATATGCTAAAAGAGAATTTTGGCAACAAAATGGAAGCAGTATAACTAATTAAAAAGAATTATTGAGAAGGAAAATACACTCAGCAAAAATAAAACTGTGATGCAAGATATCAGTCTGGACAGATCAAAACAAAGAAGCATTTGCAACCTTGAGGAGTAACTATTTAGAAGTAGATCCTGGAGGAATGTGAGGAGGAATACAGAAAGCCTACAGAATCTTTAGGATAATTTGAAAAGCACAACTTTGGTCTTTTGCAACTCAGAAGGAACTTGAAATTTTCTTGAAGAAGGAAAACTATTTCAAAGAAATAAAGACAGAAATAAAAAGAGAGCAAAGAGGGTTATGAATATCCAAGAAAAGGAAGATCTGAGCAAAGGAGGACAAATTTAACTCAATGAACAAAATTAAAACTAGTCTGGGGGACATTAGGTATGATAGGGAAATTGCTTAACATGCAGGATACCCTAGATTCAATCCACAGTACTTCAAAGAACAAAAGAAAGAATGAAAGAAAAAAAGGAGGAAAGAAGGAAGGAAGAATAAAAGGAAGAAAGAAAGGAAAGAAAGAGAGAGAAAGAAACAAAGTAACAGGGATCCTGGAGAAAACACCCAAATTATTATAGGTTATGAGGAAGGGCAGAGAGTGAGCAATTGTTACTTCTGTTGACTATGGAATATCAATATTGAACTTCCATTATAATGACCCATGATTTCACAGGGAAACTCAGAAGAGGGAAGTATTTGGGGCTCCAGGAGCAGAAAGAGGCTCCATACTTTAGGACCCACCTGAAAGAAGAGATGTCCTGTAAGCACAAGCCTCCTCTACATATTGACCCAGGTTCATAGAAGATGCTGCCATCCCAGCCAAGGTCATGACTGTTCTCTATGTTCTACATTACAGAACCAGATTGACCCGTTCTCTAAAGCCTTTTTCTCCAGTCAACAATTACACTCTATATTGGTAGTCTCATGCTTTGGGCATATTGCAGAAATTTGAATTGCAGTTACAGATTTGTGTGAACAAGATTTATTAATTTTTGCTTTCAGGGAAACTATAAATGACATAAAGGCAGCAGCTTATATCTAGCAGGGAAGTTGCTAGATATAGATATCACCTCTGGAGATCCCACAGAGGGCAACTGCATCCTGTCCCACAGAGGAAACATGGAAATTAAAAACTTTGGAGTTTCCCTGAGACATACACCTGGGATTTCACACATCTGATCTCATAACCATTGACAAATGCTTCTCTGGGCAGGACTGAACACCAGGCCACCATTATTCTCTTAGGACAGGAGGATAGGCTCCCTCCCTACTCACCAGAATTGCAAATGATCTCCCCTGAAGACACAACATTGTACATAAGGAATTATATTAACCTGGGAACAGACCCCGTTACTCTTTCTCTGCTATGTCCACTGTGTTCTGGGCAGGAATAAGTTTTTGACATTGTGGGTATCCCCATGCTGTTCTGTACAGAACAGTCCTAGGTCCCAATGAAGCTTTGCAAAATTCAGAAAGTATGTGAATACTGTGCTTTTTTTCAGAAGTTGTCTTTATCTAAACAGTGAGTACCTGATCCTCAAAACATGTGGTTGCAATGAGGACTCAGTCTTGTTGGCAAAACATTGAAGGATAGGCTCTTGACTATCTCTATTACCTGGAGATGTAAAGTCTCCATCCAAATCTCTGCAAAGCTTCTTGATAATAAAACAGATAAAAGACACCGGTTGTCTGAAAA